GAAGTTAGGGTGGCTACTGGGTTGAAGCAAGAGGTGCTCTCCTCCATTTCCCTTCCTCTTCTTTCCTGCAGTAGTGACATTTAGTGGTTCTCCCAAGCTCTGCCTCCTCGCTCCCTCTCCTTTCTGCCATTCCTCTTCTTGCAGGAGCAATCCATGGGGTTTGTTTTACCCCAGTGCCATCTCTACCCACTATGTCCCATGCTGGCTGAGATGATGCTCACCCAAAGTCCCCTTGCATGTTGTGACCTCCCCACCAGCAGCACCTGAGCCCCAGCTTTGCTGGTTCTGCCCAGAGCAACCAAAGGGTTAATAACTAACAACAGCAATCAATAAGCTGCATTGCTGCTGCTGGGGGATGTCTTACACAGATTGTCTCACATAGGCTTTGGTTGCACCCCAGCTTTGAATGACACTCGGAAGCTCAGCAGAAGCTGAGGAGGGGGCTACGGTGGAATGAGGCCCTTGAAGGGCAATTTTAGGCAAAGGTAATTGGCTTCATATGTCTCACAGGCCACTTCTGAGATCTCAAAGCAAGGTCAAGGGTGCTTGAGGCAGAGACGAGTGGCTGTTCTTGCTAACATTCATTTCCCAGTGGTATGTCAACAGCTTGTTACACAGCCAGGCTGACGACTGTTAAAGATTGGGATGGGTGACTCATTGCATTTGCTTTAATATCCATTTTTATATAGTATCGTGGTGCAGTGGCTTGACTAATTGGCATAAATCTCTTCCCAGGAGTGGAACACATCAGCAATGGGCTGAGGAGGAAAATAGAAAAGGCTTTTAAAATGAGATTTGGCCAGTGGTGTCCCATGGGATGGACAACCTTCACTTTTGGCTGTTCTTTGGGGTTTCTGCTCGTCCTGCTGGATGGATTCTGGTTTGTTAAAATGCCCCTTTTTTAAGTAGCTGAAGTCTCAGGCTTTTCTTAACATACTCTCCTCTGATGCTCATTGCACTGCCCTGTTGATGCTCTTATGAATGGAACTAGCTCTGGCCTGCAAATGCCAGGGCTGCCACCCACATGTTCAGGCAAACTTCACAACAAATGAAGGTACCTGAGTTTCTACTCTGTTGCTGCAGAGCTGGTCAGCTCTGGGGAATACTGGCCACTTGTTCTATCAGCCAAGTACATGGTGAGATCTTTACGAAATTTGCTGCAGTGGAGGATTTGGGGGAAAGGGAGGGAAGCTGGATGAAGGCATTTGGATAAATTAAAATCATTAAAATTACTTTCTAGCTATATTTCCATTCTGGGGGTTCAAAGCAGATCCAGGACCTGTGTTTGATGATGTATATCTTCTGCTGGGGATGAATGGTGTGTTTAGGCCGTATCCACTTTTATTCTTTTATTAGCCTAAATGTTGCTGATTTCTCCTCATCCCTTTGTGGAAGACTGTCCATGCTTCAGATCGGTACCTTTGCTGATGCTCCCCTAACTGTTCCCTTTTGCACCCCTAAAATGCCCCACTGAAGGGAAAGAGATGAAAATAAACCTGCTTTGCTGAAGGGAGATCATACAGGGCATGATATATCAGCTGCAGGATGTTAAATACTCCTACCCTCCCACTAAAGGGTGAGATCTGTGGGAATTTTCAGCATTTAAAGATGACCCTCTTGGTCCCTGTCAGGTTATTGAGGGTGTCAGAGGTGGGTGTCATAATTTCTGGCTCAGCCAAAGAAGATGCCCAGATACCACATCATAAGTAGAAACCTCTAATAGAGAGCTCTGACACCAAGACTTCTGATGAAAGTTGTAGTTTCTGCTCAAAGAGGACCCAGGACACTGACCTGCTTGAAGGGAGGGACCCACTTAGAATCACAGAATGGCTTGGGTTGGAAGGGACCTTAAACCTCACCCAGCTCCAACCCCTGGCATGAGCAGGGACAATATTATTATTCATTACGCCAAAGTGAAGGTAGAAGTTGACTTTGAAGTCTGGTCTTAAGGAAGAGAAGTGTCATCATCACTACCCCCAAAGTACAAAAGCAACTCCACCAATGACTATTCTGGGGCTGCTGTCAAAGACCTTAGGAAGATTTTGGAGTTTGCAAGGTGATGGGGGTGGAGGCTTCAACCTGCACGGAAGCAAAGGAATCTCTTTGCTTCCCTTGTGTCCAGAGAAGCTTGAAACTGAGATGCTTAAGGACAAAGCCCCAGCTGCAATATCATAGAACCATGGAATGATTTGGGTTGGAAGGGACCTTAAAGCTCCTCCAGCTCCAACCCCTGCCATGGGCAGGGACCCCTTCCACTGGAGCAGCTTGCTCCAAGCCCCTGTGTCCAACCTGGCCTTGAGCACTGCCAGGGATGGGGCAGCCACAGCTTCTCTGGGCACCCTGTGCCAGCGCCTCAGCACCCTCACAGGGAAGAGCTTCTGCCTAAGAGCTCATCTCAGTCTCCCCTCGGGCAGGTTCAAGCCATTCCCCTTGGCCTGGCCCTATTTGCTCTTATAACAAAAAAGAGCAGAAGGGTGGGGAGGAGCATGAGGAGGACGTCTGCATCACCTCCTCTAAGCCATGTTAGACAACAGATTTGCACTGGGTGAAGTATTTTCCTCAGTGTCTTTTTCTCTCCAATGCCTGAGTTAGATAGATGACTAACTCAATCCAATGTTTCAACTTGTAACTTGGGGCAGACATCAGTGGATAAGGATGGATAAGGAGAATGAAAGCTCTATGAGACAGTGGTATTGCCTGAATCAAAAAGCAGGTTGCTTTTAAAGCTAGAAGCCAGGTTCCCTTATTCCTTGTTCAGTGTCCTATGCACTAGATTACACTGCTCCCCTTGTTGACTCCTTGGTGTAACTCGGTGAAGCCAATGGAGTCGTGCTCTCCCGCTACTTCCTTTCCCTCTAGGCATGAATCAGAGTCCAAGCCCTTGGCTCCAGGATGCATCCGTGATGATGAGGTAAGTTTCCAGTCTTAGGCACTGACAGAGACGAGCTGGGAAGAATTTGTCTCTATGTGGCTGGAGAATGACTGTGTCCTCCCATAAGGGAACAAAACTGGAAGCCAGAAAAAGGATTGCCTCTTGGCAGCGGCGTGGAAGTTCAGCATTACAGTAGCAAAAGGTCAGGATGCAGTGCAAAAGCAGCTAATCCTGCCACAGCCAGGGAAAGGCTTTATATGGGATGTCCCTCTCCTTTTCTCAGGAGAGAAGACTTTCAGAACACCCCAGTGGAAGGAGGCAGAAGTGGGAGATTCTTGGCATTATCTCTAAACCCCTCAAGGGAATCCTACCACAGCAGGGAGCTGGTTAGAGCCTCCTGCTGTTACACATACCATCTAAGCAACCTCGGGCTGACCTTCGTCGGTCAGCGACACTTTCTTTCTCAGAAACCCACAGTCCTAAAAAAGAAGGAGCCGCTTTTCCTCTTCCCTCCCTTCCATCACCCTCTCCTGGTTGAGCACCAAGGCAGAAATGACAAACAATCTCTCGACCTTCCAAGAAATTAAGGCAGAGCCACCTAGCGCGGAACAATGGGGAATGATGAAGACACAGCCACAATAGCTGGCTGTGGTTAACCTCAGAGGCTGCAGTCAAACCCAAGGAAATTACAGAAAACCCTTAAACAAATACAATGGCCACGACTGTTTTCTCCCCAGGGGACCCATAAATAGAAGCTAGTGCTCCCGGGGAGGGAGGAGGGTGGCCACTGTTTGTTCTTCTGTGGTTCAGTGTAGGCTAAAGTGGAGATTAGGCTACGAAATCGAAGGCAGCGAGAAAGCAGGCAGTAATGGATTTTGGCACTGATTCTTACATGAGCTGCATAAATCCAGAGCAGAAAAATGCTGCACTCCTGCAAGGTTCTGCAAGGCTTGCATGGGCTTGCTTGATCCTCTGCGAGTGTGGATTCGATTCACCTTGAGCCAAGGGTCAGTGACTCTTAAGGTTTTTCTATCTCCATTCCTTTCATTTCAGAGCTGAAACTTAGGTGATGCCTAAACAGGGCCATGGTCTGAAGTGAATACTCTGTATGGGAGTATCAGGATGTTGTGGTTCTGTGTGCTTCAGATGATCTCTCTGTTTCTCTATGTATTATGAGATCTGGTTCCTCACAGGACATCTGGATGATACTTGTAGTGCTGATAACAGTGCTTTTAGTATAGCTAAAAGAAAGGTCAAAGCTGGAGCTGACATCAGATGGATCCATCTCCTTTATTTCCAAACGTTATGGATGCTGCTACCCAGGAAGCTCTGGGCATCTTTTATAGAGAAAGTGTTCTATAGAGACTGCAATTGCAGTCAGTGACACTTTTCCTTCTGACCGAACTGAACACTATTTTGTATCACTGGTTATTGTTGCTGTGAATTGTTCTATTGATAAGAAAAGGAGGATACAACAGAAGTTACCTATGCCTCTTTGCAGTGCAGAGATGTGGTGAATCATTTCACTGGGGTCATAAGAGGAAACTGGCCAGAGCAACTTGGAGATGAATGCATTTCTGAGCCCTCACTTTAGCTTGAATGTAGTCAGTTCAGCTACTCTGCACAGGGAAAACTGTCATTTTAAAGAGCCGGGATGCACAGAAGGAAAAGAGTGGCCCAACAAGTGGTTCCTTAAACAGAAGATGGTTGTTGGAGGAGAAAAAGACAGATTATGCACCTTAGGCACTGCCATCAGCTTATCTTAAACTGTGATTGCCTGTTGGCTGTGGCCCAGCCCCATGAACCTTGGCCCACCCTCCTCCAGTGCAAGCAGTTACCAAGGCAATAACAACCCTTACTTCTGCTCCTTGCAAGCCTGAATTCTACAAGGCAAATTCCTCTGCATTGGGTGGTGTAGAACTGGATGGGCAGGTCCTAGCTGGCTTTTGCTGAGCTTTCTGCTTTCAGATCTTCCTTCCTAGAAGGTATAGGTCAAAACCAGAAGAGGTGAGAATTGCTCATCAGCTTTAGCTGGGAGTTGGGAAGAGCTCAGGTACAATTAATTACTTAATGTGGCAAATGATCAGCTTTTCTTTAAAAGAAATTTAAGATAGCAGTTGTGTAGGGTTTCTTGAGCCTGGGAGATGTGAGGCAGAGATGTTGTGATGGCAGCAACTGAAGGTAGGAGCTTAGGTTTTATGCTTGTTTTTTACCCCAAAATGTGAAGGATTAGGAAGATGAGTAACTTGTTCTTGTCTTTTCTCTAGAGAAAGTTGAATTATTTGCCATAAGTTGCACTCTTTTCTTTGATATGGTGTAAATTACAAATTTGAACCCTGGAAATCTTGGGTTCTCAGTGGCTTTGGGATCTGGACCTGGTCCCTTTTGTTTCTTTAAAAGAAACTTGAAATAGTCCTGATAACCTTTTTGAGTGTTTTCCTGGAAAATATTGATTTATTGAAAGAAGGACTTCTCTGTGGGCATCCTGCTGATGAATTAGTACCACCTAGAGGGAGGTATTTGGTCCAGGATGAAGCTGGTTCTTATGGTTAGATTAGAGAGTGTTTGGCATACTAGTCATTAGGGTTCATCTTCCATGTGTGATTCACGGAGTGCAGAAGGTTACAATTGCTCTCATATCTCATGTGAGCTCTCTAATAACTGACCTATTTGTCCTTCTTCCTTCCTGTCCCCATATTTATGAAAAGCTTCCAAAGGACATATAATAGTGGGATAATGTGATCTTCAAGTCATGGACAAGGAAAACATTTCCTGCTTAGCTAATCTTTGTAAATAATTCTGCTTGGCTTCATGCTTTCTCTCTGGTTAATCTTAGTTCTGAATCATCTAGGGGAGGAACTAACTAATGTTTGGCCTGGGATCTCCAAGGCCACATTAATCTGGATGAGTGATGTAAAGTTCAGCTCTCTGATTCACCCATTGTTCACAAGGTCATGATTAAGCCTTGCAAATGTCACTTATCTTGAGGTCCCTCTGGAGGTGAATCATGACCTCTTGTCTATAACCATGCTCCAAAGACAGCTTTTGCTAAGGAGCAAGTAGCAAACACCTTTGGTTTCCCATAACAAAATGCACAGCTCAAGCAGAAGCATCTGTAGTGAGGTGACTCCATGGCACTTGGCTGATATCCCACTGCTGATCCATCCCTGATCCTCAAGGTGGGTTATCATTTCAGGACAAGCTGTAGCTCTGCAGCAGAGTAAAACAGCCTCCAGAATCCATTAGGAAAAGTTTAGGCTTGTTTCTGTGTCTGTTGTGGACCTCTGTCAATATTGAAGAGATGCTTCATCAATCAAACATAAGTGACTTCTTCACCTCTTGCCATGACTGGGGTATTAAGCGTGCACTACAAACATACGCTATGCATACAACAATTACACAATGTGTAATTGTTGCTGTAGACACTTGACAGTGTGAAGCAGGGAATTAAGCTAGCTGGAGATCTCCAGTGAGGCTTGGGAAAGCTGGAAATGTGATGGTGTGAAAGGGAGAAGGTTGTGGAATATCTTAGGAGGGTTCTGAAAAAGCTGATGAATGCCTGTAGATGAGCTGAGGGTTGAGGGGAGGATATATTTTGGGTAATGGAAAAACCACACCTGAGTCTAATGGGCATGAATACTCTAGTTTGGAGACCCCTTAACCACCTAGCTTCTTGTCAACCCATCTGTCTACTGCCAAAACACTTCAGCCTTTGTCTTGTGCCTCTTGGAAGTGGTGGGATGTGCAGGCAATTACATTGCTCAGTACATGGAGACTCTAGGCCTAGGAAGGAAGATGGGTGCCTGAAGGTTTGTGTCAAAAAGCTGGCTGGCCACAAGGATTTATCCTGCTACAGCTGGTGCTTTAAGAGCAGAAAAAGGAATTTGCTTGGGATAGCCAAAGACTTTCAACTTTCCCAGGTTAATGTGGGAGATGATGCAGTGGATTGGTGTTCCCAAGAGTCCACTTGTCTTTAGGGACCTGAGAAGTGCTCTCCACTTTCTAGAGGGCTTTTGCCACTGTTGGGACATTCAAGAGAAGACCTACTGGGAAGATGGCTTTTGTAATATCAGTCTTGGATAGAGGAAATCCTGTTTTGTTTCCTTTTAAACCTAAATTTCAGGAAAGGTGGTTTTCTCCCCTTTGTCTGCTTAGAGAAAGTCTCTTCTGAGACACTATATAGTCTGTGTGTGCATGAATATAATGGGCCCTGAGCTCAGCCAGAACTTGGGTGAAACAGAAACCCTAATCCACAGAAAAGGGAGTCCAGGAAAGGTACCCAAGCCAGTACAATAAAACCAGGCTGCTGTCTGAGTCTGTGCATGGCACCACGTCTTCCTACCGCTGGCTTCTTGGATGGTAAATGCTGGAATAAGTGTGAACATGACGCTGAACGCCTGAAGCACTTATAAATGCCCAGGCTGCAGCAGGTAGAAGTGTTTATGGCTGTGGGAGATATTTATGGCTCTATTACATCCTCTGTTATTTTGGCCTCATTGACTTCTTACAAAATCTTTAATGAAGGTTTATATTTTATACTTTCCCTCCTGGCTTGTGCTTGCTTGTAAGGAAGTGTGATGGCAGCAGGTGAAGGTACAAAAGGTCCTGCAAAGTAAGCCTGGGAAATGCTTGTAGTGGCAGAATGGCGTATCAGCAGAGCAGAGGGCTCCTCATTCTCAGCCTTGTTTCTTAGGAAGCCCTAATTTTCCTCTGCAGCTCACTAAAATGCAGTCAGATGCAGATGCATGTTCCTGCCCTGAGCCGGCTGTGTGCCAGCCCATAACCTGTAGCTCAAGCTCAGTGCCATGTGGATCTGCATCCTGCCTTTGGGTGAGTGTGACTATGCGCCTTTAGACCTGACTGACTCGGGGAAAGAATGGCAGTAGTGTTTGCACCAGGATGTGAATGCTGGCTCACTTGATGTTGTTGTCTAAGTCAATGCCATATATATATTCCTATTTATATATATTTATCCAGCCCACACCAGCTGGCAAGTACTGGCAGTCCTATCATCCTGAGAAGGCTGGCTGACTTTTCTCCATGTATGAAAACATGGACTTGGTCTTTCCAGAGCATTTTATTTAACTTGCCAGGAATTCATGGGGATGCTCTGTAGCTACAGCAAGTTTGGAAGAAGCTCTCTTTGAGGAAGGAGGGGGATGCAGTTTGTACCAGTTACATGAGCTCTAGCTGTCATCCTTGTTGACTGTACACTTATCTGACCAAATTCAGCAAAGCATGTGATGGAAATACTGCTTTAAATAAACTTAAGGCAACCCCAATGCAGTGAAAAACTGCAGTGTGCTGCAGAGTATAGTTTTGACTGTATGTGGAAGTGTTTCTAGGTTGTTATCCTGTGGTTTTGGTTCTCTTTAACAGGACAGACATTGCCTCATAGCAAAGGTGTTGGGCTGGGACTCTGAGGTAGTTATGCTCAATTCTTCTCTTTCCTTCTTGTGTTTAGTTTTCCCCATTTACAAAATCAAGAGGTCTGGTGTCCCTTCCCACTTCCAGGCAGTAGATGCCCTGAGCGTGAATTCATTCAGGCCATCCCAGTACTAGGTGTGAAAGACGTCTGAGGTCACTTGGAGACAAGCAGACCTAAGGAATACATCTCTCTAGCTTTATTAAAGCTGTTGCCATCTCCTGTGCGTCTAGGACTAGCATCTATCAATTGCAGACATGGCTTGGCCTTTGGACCTCAGGGCTTTATTTTATTTGCTACTGCTGCAGAAAGGCACATCCATAGGCAAAACTTCCCAGGAACCATTGGCCCCATTCTCCTGCTCCATGGTGGGAACAGGACAAACCCTTTCAGGAGGTGACAAAGTGCAGAGGCACGCGCAATGCGGGCCAAAGGGCTCTTGGCTCATTCACGTTGACATGAACTCTTCTCAATTTGTAAACTCCAGAAGGGTCAAAAGTTGAAGAGCTTTTCTCTTTTGTTTGCCACCTACATCGCCCTGTTCGGAGGAGCGCTTGCGGGAATCCTCCCTGGAGGTGCACACCAGGAAAGACAGGCTGCATTGTTCTGGCTCCCGACTCAAAACCAACACAGCTGACATGCATTGCTGCATGGTTCACCAGCTCTGAAAGGAAGGGAAGAAGCTGGTGACTTAATCCTCCGAGCGCCTGCCTTTCATCCTTTAGAAGAGCCGGATATTTTTGCTTCTTGTCATGGTTGTAGGCAAACTGAGTGCAGAGGTTCCTTTTGGAGGGTGCAGCCCCACACCTACAAAACTGATAGCCAAAGGGCATGTCTATCCTGCTGGTGTAGGCAGACCTGAACTGCCTCTTCTCTTCTGTGAGCTTTGAGTTAGGAGCATGGGGTGTGCAGTGTTGGGTCTGGATGTGGCCTGGCCATGTTAGCCTGGCTTTGTGCTTTACAATCCCTGCTGAATCCCTGAGATGCTTTACCTGAGGTTAGCAAAATCTGGCTAAAAGCTTAACCCATTTTGGGTGAGTCCACATGGCCTAAGTCCAGCATCAAATGGACTTAGAACCATAGAATAGTTTGGGTTGGAAGATCATCTAGTCCAACCCCCTCACAATGAGACATCTTCAACTCGGCAGGGACAGCTTCAAATAGATCAGGTTGCTTAGAGGTGTGGGGATTATTAGGCTGTTATTTCTGTAATAGGAGGAAGCAAAAGGCTTGGACATCTGATACAGAAAGCAAGTAGCTTTGCAGAAGGCACACTTTGAGTGTTCCAGAACTTTGGCTTAAAGTTGAGCAGCACTGGGTTGCTCTTCAGTGCTTTCCTAGACGTCAGAAGCACTGTGTGTCCTCAAGCGAGACCTGAGGCAGGGTTTGCTGTTATCCTGCCCTGTCCTTCCACCAGCAGAAACATCAGCTGCACCCTTCTGTGGACAAGGATACCCACAAGCACAGGCTGGTCTCAACCTGTGCTCCTGTAACGGCACGCTCTGAGCCGGAGCCTCCACCCTCCTGTCCAGCTGTTGTCACCCAATGAGACATGTGCAGGGCTGTGGACTCTTCCTCGGGGCAGGGATTACCCAGACTAAGGAGTGTTTCTCCTCATTCTGAATCTGTTTTATCACGTCCCAGTCCTGGCTGTAACTTCAAGCAGCTCAGCCTTCCTCTGCTAGAGGGAGGTGTGACTTTTAGTGGCTGCTGTTTTCTCTGGAGGCACTTGGAGGTTTTAATGAAGATGCTGTGA